AAAATGAAGGACATTTTGACACATGCTATAATATGGATGAATTTTGAAGACCTTATTCTAAGTGAAATTAGCCAGTCACAAAAATACACATATTATATATGAATATACTTTACAAGGTTCCTAGATTCCATAGAGATAGAAAGTAGAATGGTAATTACCATGGCCTAGGAGAAGAGATACTGGGTATAGAATTTCATTGAGGAAGATGAAAAAGTACTAGAGATAGATGGTGATAATGGATTTAATAACATAGATCTGTACATACTCAAAATTGGTTAAAAGTATGAGCTTTATGTTATTTATATTTTACCCCCCACATAAAAAGGCAGGGTGAGAAGCACAATAAAAAACTGCTTTGTCTAACTCAAAAAGCAACAAGACTCCCCTAAACCATAAGCTCCAGCCAGGCCGTCTGACCATTTATGAACTGTTTGTACTGGACAACTTACTTCATTGGGTTTAATTTCCTCATCTGCAAAATGGCAATAATCCTCCCTCAAAACATTGTGGAGATTAAGTTAGATAATATGTGTAAAGTTCTTAGAAAAGTGTCTGGCACATATTAAGCACTCAGATGAATACAAGCTATTTTTATTAGCATAAGCCACTTCCTGAGAAATAAACAACACAGAAGATCTGATGGTCCAGGAAATGAGTTACTCACTCTATTCAGTTAAATCATCAATATGGAGATGCACAATCTTTATAACTAAAGAGGCCTCACAACGACTAGGCGGTTTTGTGGAGTTTGCTATAATTAAATTCAGATATAAGATATTTTGAAGATTCCTGAAAATGTCTCAAGTTACTTGAGAATTATCATATAAATACTACATTGATTCCACAGTAAAGAAGTAGGGTAAATTATGAAACTATATCCTAATTCAAGTCTTTCCATATTAGCAATGGAAAGAACTAGGGTAATATTATGTCATTCTTTTTTTTATCTAATATTTACTGTCTACCACGTATCAGCTTCACATACACACATATATATACTGAATACATACGCTATACATGTTCATATATACATGAATACCAAGTTGTATCTAGGCAATAAAACAAAAAAAAAGCTCCAAAATACCTTTTAAATTATAGTGATTTTAAAATGTTTCCTATGTTAGGCTGTTTGATTAAGAGTAATATCTTTTGATATGAAAGATTAAAAAAACCTGATTATTATGAATCTACAGAAAATAAAAATTGGAACAAAACTAATGTAACTGGCCTCTTGCTGGCCATTAACCTAAATTATAATACAAAAGACAAATTAGGAACTCAATTTTTCAAGTGCAAAACAGATATAGTAAACTTCTGCAATCAGCATACATGGCAGAAATGCAATGATTTTATTTTCAACTCTTTTAGAAATCTGAAATTTAGATGTATTTCATGATTGCTTATAGTAATAAAGTCCAGTTCCTAGAAATACTAGTTAGTTCCTTTTATACATAAATATACCATCACAGCACAAATTGGGCAAAGAAAAAAATCTTCAAGTCTAGTTCACTTCAGGAAGTATTAAAAATTAAAGAAACTATATAGCTCTCAATATGAGACAACAATAATGGGGCTTGACTGAAGCAGCATAATGAAATCCTTTATTTTTTATTTTTTTATTTTTTTGAGATCATGTCTTACTCTGTTGGCTAGGCTGGAGTGCTGCAGCATCAGCTCACAGCAACCTCCAACTCCTGGGTTTGAGCAATCCTTCTGCCTCTGCCTCCTGAGTAGCTGGGACTACAGGCACTGCTCCAACTCTCAGCTAATTTTTCTCCTTTTGGAAGAGATGATGTCTCATTCCTCCCAGAGTGCTGGGTTTATAGGCATGTTCCTGGCGGTATAACAGAATCTTGCCCTGTGCTGAAGAAACTATCTGTATAGCTGTAGGTATAGGTATAACTGAGAAAAATATGGTCAAGAAGGAAACATCCTTGAGTCTAGTACAAGGATTTTAAGCTTTTGGATCTGATTATGAACTAGTGTGGAGTGCTAAGAAGGTAAGGAGGTATCTTAAGGTTCTACCCACTTTTGGCCATCTCTTCTTCCTACCTCTCTATAAAGCAGCCCTTTAACAATACCTCTTTGGACCTCTAGATACCTGTGCAGTCAGCCTGAAAGCCACTAGTCTACAATGAGGCAAATGTCATTAGACACACATCTTTTGATTGATGTTTAGAATGATGTACAAACCTTATCAGTCAATTATATTTTATCACCTATAGATAAAGGACCTTCGTGCTCAGGTGAATCAAAGAAACAGGTATAAAAGTTAGAAATCTGGTTTCCTTTTGCTATATGACCAAAGTTTTTTTTTTTTTCTACGACCAAAGTTTATCCAAAAACTTTTAACTAACCTGGCTAGACACACACCAAAAACTTTATGTGGCATATAAAAGATAGTTCTGTTTAGTGTATTTTGTATAAAGTTGCTATAGAAAGCCATTTCCAGTCCATTAAATACATTTATTTTGACACAAAAGGACTGTTGTAATATTAACTGTCTCCCATAGCCTGAAAGTAAGTTCCATACAATTCTTGGTTTCAAATTCCAGTAAAGGATTACAGGTTACCTTGGTGCATTGGTCAGAATCCACTTAAGTTTTTGACAATGGGACTAGGGCCAACTGGATGAAGGTGGATTTCTCCGCTTCTGTCAATACTAGTAACTGTTGTAAGTACATGCATCATAAGAAAAGCAGACAAGGATGTTGGGAATTCTCACTGGTTGGGAAGGGTAGTAAGCGATCTTTTTAGATGCTGACTTTATAAGCTTGACTAGATTGGTAAAAAGTTATCATAAAAATTTTTAGGGGAAAAGTTCTCTGAGCCCTGTAGATTACTCTCTAGAGCAAAGGGTACTTTCGCTTGCAAAGTACTTTGTTTCACAGGCACCATTTGAAGAAATATTTTAAAGTAACATATTAATCATCCTACCATGCTTTTTCACCTTAAAGGAAGACTTCTGAGAAAAACAGATGCAAATCTATCTGAAGGGGTAAGATGTGATGCTACTTGAAAAACATACATTTATAGTTATAATGAATAATGTCTAAGAAATACAACAAGATTTCACAATGATTATTCTGACCATACTAACACACCACCCTATGACTACTATATGCTAAGTAAAAAAGCTGAAGGTTACAATTAAAATCTTACTTATGTAAGCCTAAGTATAGGAACTTCTATGACAGAGAGCCAAGACAGTAGTATCAAACACAGTGGTTACTAATTTAAACAAAAGGTGGCCTTTCAAAATCTAATATCACTCTCATAATGTAACACAATTCTATTTCCCATACTACTGGGAAAGATCCTGCAGTGATCTTTTGTTTTCTCTAAGCTCTTTATTATAGTAGCATTTCAGTGCTTGCTGTATTAGCTAAATGATTATTAGCATTACAGAGGTGACCTACCAAATGAAATCAACAATATACTTTGAGATGCAAAGACATCAACCGTCCATGAGTACTCATGAGTTTTCTATCTTAGTTGACTGTGTCTACACATCCTGGTATATAAGATGTGCCCAATTTAATTTCTACCTTCATTTAAAATTGAAACTTTTCAGGTAGTATATTTTAATGGTTAAAATCAAGAGATATAAAACATTAAATTGGTATTGAAATATAGTTTGTGGAATGGAGAAAGCTAATAAGGCTAACTTAGAACGACAACTTCTGTAATTAGGTAAAGGAAAAAAACATGATTCCTCTATCTTAGCTTTGAATACTTAATAGAGACACCCAATTTGTAACATCTAAATGGTGGTAGTGCTAGGAATATACTGCTTAGAGTCACTGCTATCTTTTTTTCCCAAAAACCTTTTTTGCTAGGAGATACTGTACAAGATCTTGCTAAGGCTAACAGCACTGTGGATGGTAAAAGTAACACCACCTACTCAGTGCTTACTTGCCAAGACACAGGCCCTATACATTAAGACTAATAAGGAACAGATCACTTCTTTCACTTCTGACAACTCATTACTTGCATGTCAACAGGGTATAAGTTATATTTTTTAAAAAAGGATTTAATTTTGTAGATAACGATTGTCTATCCTTGATCCCCTATAACATGATCCACATCACACTGTAGAGACTATTAGTAAAAAACACAGCCTGTTGACATCACAGATAATGCCCAAAGGGGGAAGGGTACACACCTTTATAATGCTCAGTAATGAAACCAAGAAAAAATTGAGCTCTAATAACTCCTAATAAGTGGAGAATAAGATATTTACCTGGGAATGAGGTTAAGTGGGGGATGGAAAGGATGGACAGGGAATAGAAGGATGGAGAGGTGGTTTATCTTGGGATAAAAGAGAATTACTGTCTTTAATTTGTAAGCACTGACTCAGAGAAGACTTCAGAGAGTCTCTGGTTTGCCCTTGTCAGTGCACTAATGTATCTGTTAAGAGATGATTCCCTAAGCGTTTGTTTGATTAAAATTCACTGTGGAGCTGACTTCCTTCCTTTTGATAGTGATGTACCTTGCTGCATTATTTTATTGACTTGTAAGGCTTTTTTATGCAAGAGGAAAGATAGAATGTATGGAACCCACATTTAGATTTCTGAGAGAGACTGAAACATCAAATAATCAACTTAAATACTTGGTCTAAGTGATAATATAAGGTCTAAGTGATACCTTATAAAATCTCAATCTATGGAAAAAGAAGGCAAAGAGTAAGTAATATAACACTGTTTTAGTTTCTGATGGTAGATACCTAAAAACATCAGCTCTCTTAATACTTGAGAAAGGATAATGAGCATGTTGAAAATATAAGGCAAAACATTTCTTGCAGTATTACCCTTTCTCATTCACTTGGAGCCATTAAGGCACTAACTATAAAACTGCCTTTAAAAACAATATTAAATGGAAAGCTTCCAAATCCACAAGAGAAAAGAAACACTTGGTAAATGAAAGATAAGGAAGTGAAAGGCAAATTTCCAACTTAAAGGCATAGCCATAATTAGGTGCAAAGAAATGTGATACTATACTTTGGTTTTGCATTTTTGTATTCTTCAGTGTCTGTGTCCTCATCCTCTGAGTACCAATTATCTCCTCTTCCTCCAGCCAAGAGGCCCCTGGCCGCCAACAGTCCTGCAGCATTCCCATAGCCAGTGTATTTCAGGAGGCTATCCACTGCAAAAATAGAACAGAGTTTTAGATAGGAATCCCTGGATCCTCACTGTCATCACCAACCATTCAGCAACAGTGGGAGGCTGGAGATAGGTGCCATGGCAGTATACCTATAAACTGAGAGGTTTGCTAAGTATAGTGGTGGTTATACTGAACTACCTACAAATTCTCCTGTGTTCTCTGTAGACTAAAAGTCATTTTTAGGAATTGGAAATTCAAATAAAGCTCTTCTGAACATAACTTTGTGGCTGTGACTGTGTAAATTAATTAAGGCCTTTAATTGAATGTTGACAAAATGATATCCTAAGGATAAACTTAGGAAACAAAACCTTATCTGCATATAAAGCCATAGTAAAATATACATCTGAAATACTATTGTAATTCAGAGCACTTATCTCCAAAAAAGACAAAGCTGGAGAAGATTCGGAGAAGGGCAATTAAAATGACTTTGGATACCTGACAGTATTAGTGAGTAGGGAAATAGGAGGATAAGAAAAAGGGATTATTGGCTCACATCTATAATCTTAGCACTTACGGACGCTGAAGAGGGAGGATGCTGGAGCCCAGGAATTAGAGACCAGCCTGTGCAACACAGCAAGTTGAGAACAGTGACATGTACCTATCATCCCACCTACTTGGGAGGCTGAGGTGAGAGGACTGCCTGAGACTGAGTGTTCAAGGTTACAAGGGAGCTGTGATTATGCCATGGAGCAGGACCACTGTCCCTAAATAAAATAAAGTAAAATAAAATAAAATAAAATAAAATAAAACAGGATAGAAATAAGATCAGATTTATAACATCATGAAGGAAACAGATAGAATGAATATCCCAAGATAGAGGTGTTTGTTAAATTTTCAAATACCTAGACTAGAGGGTATCTCCCTTAACATTTGAAAACAAGTGGTTTGGGAATAAATAAAAGGAAGCCCTGCTTTCAAAGAATATAGCAAACTGGTGAAATCTGTGAAAAAGGAAACACAGGCTAATAATATGAATTGATTAAATGAGGCAGCAATTAGTCATTTTCAATATTAGAACCACTGGTAACTGTGGTCTCTTTAAAAATAATTCTTGGTGGCTCGACACCTATAGCTCAACCGGCTAAGGCGCCAGCCACGTACACCTAAGGTGGCGGGTTCGAATCCCCAGCCCGGACCCGCCAAACAACAATG